GATAGTCCCCACCTTTTTGGACAGGCTCTAGCACAAGACCTCAAATCCCTTACTCTCTCGAGCTCCACCCTCCTTCAATATGTAGATGATCTTCTCCTGTGCAGTCCCTCCCTACAAACCTGTCAATAGGATACTATTCTCCTTTTAAACTTTTCTCTCAGAACACAGCTATTGAGTTTCACCCTCCAAAGTTCAGCTGTCTGCCGCTCAGGTCACATACCTGAGAGTTCATCTCTCCCCGCGCTACAAGGCCATTACCATAGACAGTAAAAAACTTCTCCAAACCATGCCCATTCCAAACACCAAGCAACACCATCCCTAATTCCCAAATGGCAAAGACCATACATACACAGTAATACTTTCCACACCAACTGCAGTTAAACTCCAAGGTCTTCCCCATTGGATACACAACTCCCACCTTAAAGCCATTTGTCTCATCTTATTCCCCTCCCACCAAATCTCCCACATGTTCCTACTCCACCCTGACGGGACCTGTTACTCTCTGCATTTCGCGGCACTCATCTCCACTTCCACTCATCACTGAAGAAGCTTCTGCCAGCACGGAGTCCTAAGACCTCCCTTACAACCGCCATGCCTCCTGCCTCAGGATCGTTAACCCTGGTCTCAACACTTACTCTCTCACCAGACCTATCTTCCCAATACCAGCCTTTTCTTCTCTTTCAGACTGTCCAAAAGATTGCACCATCAAGGATTCCCTTTGCCCTACAGGTTGCTTTGCTGCCTACACATAGGTCCCCATCAATGCTATAATTCAGCCACCCTATGTAAACATAGCAATCAGCCCAAATGCAAAAAATTTCTAACCAAACCTTTAACCAGCTTATATTACAGGATTACCAACCCCTCTCCAAACACTCTGATCCTTATTGAACCTGGAACACGCCATCGCCACTGCAGACCAAGGGCTCATCTGAGGACCACCCCCCATCAATACAAAAATGAACTTCATCGCCCCTAATCAGCAGGAAGCAAATACTGAAGACTGACCTGCACCCCTTCCCAAGTCCTCTACCACTTATAAAACAGAAAAGGGAGGAATGTAAGAATATGTAATTTATCTTCCTTTTGCCCCATGGTCCCAAGCACATAAGCGGGTGAGAATTATGTCTAGGCTTGCCTGGGTTTACCCCGCCTTATCTCTAAACATCCCGACCCTCCTGAAAGGCAACAGGCCAAGCAGATCTACCACAATAAAAGGCACCACGCTGCTGCCCTCTCTCTCTCTCTCTCTGTGTCTGTCTGTCTCGCTGCTCTCTTTGTGTTTGTCTCTGTCTCTCTGTCCCCCTGCTCTCCCCTCTCTCTCTCTCTGTCCCATTGCTCTCTATGCTGCTCCCTCTCTCTCTCTCCCCACCCCCGTCTGGGGGAGCCACTCTCTCTTTCAGATAATAACGTCTCTTGCGTGGGCCCGTGTCTCCTGAGTCATTCTGGGTAAGGAGGGTCATGGCGAAATACCCTTTCACACTGCTAGTCAGTATTTATGCCCCTAGTCAGCCTGGCCGCTAGGCACCTGCTGCTCTCCAGGCACCACATCCTCCCTGGGGCAGCAGGGAAGCAAAGGGAAAAGCACGAACACGCAACCCTGTGTGAGAGCCCACGCCAGGCATATGTCCCAGCTCTGTTCCAGTACAGCCTCACTATGTAACGCCAAGGATCCATAAGCCTGTTATTTTCCTTTTTTGTGGTTTCTTATTGAGAGCTGACACAGCAGCCAGACTTATAGATTGCCACTCCCTTTAACATTTCCATTTAACCAGGTGGCATTTTTTGGGAGTCTTTAAATTATTCATGTGACTCAACTGTTCCTTCCCTGCACAGTTGCAAGTTCTATGATATCCATCCCAGAAAGCACCACAGGGAGTGGTGCCCAGTTGCCAGAGTGTCACTATCTTTCATCAGTAAGTACCAGAAAATTTCATAATAAAGACAAATTTGCCACAAATCATCTTGCCCCCAACAAATGCTGTCCCCACACAAAGGATTTCCTAATAGACTGATGTATCTGCTACATAATAAACTATAATAAAATAAAACCACATTTTGTTCAATTATATTTTGAATTCCACCCATTCTAAATTCAGTACCCTTATATATACGCTCTAAATGAGGCAAAATTCAAAGACCATGAAACAAACAAAAAAAATCCTGAAGTGTGATGGCTTTTACCAAATTAAATCTGTACCACTGCACGGTCTTTATTGTCTGCCAAATAATCCTCTTTAAAAACACACACACAAAAAAAAACCCAGTTTAATTCAACAAATGATGGAGCGCCCACTCTGGGCATGGAGCTGCAGGGAAGACACTGACAGCCAAGACGTAGTTCTGGTCCTCAAAGGACGTGTGATGAGGAAGGGACACGTATTCAGCTGGACTTCAGAATGGAAGGAGCAAAGTAAACATTGTAGAAGACAAAATGCCATGGGGGCCCGGCAGAGGGAGTGATTAATTCACACTGTGGGGAGGTGGTCCTGAGCCAGCCGCCAAGTAGGACTCGGGTTTTGACAGCTGGGGAAGGCGTACCCAGGCAGAGGAAAGAGTTTATGCAAAGGTGGGCCATGATGTGCGGGAAGACGCATTATCTAATTTACCAAAATGTATATTGCAGTATTCTAATTATTATAGGTTGTCAAATAGTGTCACACCTACTTGCTTTAGCAGTAAAAATCACATGCCTGCATTATTACCCCTATAGGCCTTGAACTAATGATCTGTAAGTATAGTGGTTTTACGAAACATGCTAATTTCCCAGGGTAAACCAGCCTCCCCAAACCCAAGCCCTTTTACGTGCGTCCCTTTACACACATTCCAACACTAGGAACACACACCCTGACCAACAAGAGCCTCCTTTTGTTGCCCCCCTATTCTTGTCAGCGACTCGGCATCACTCCCTCTAAACTCCCTCGTTAACACATACTCCAGGCCACACATGCACGCGTACTACCAGCGCCCCATACATAGCGCCAGACAGGAAACATATTGGGAGGATTTTAAACAATTTTAAAATGTGCCTTCAAATTTTACAACTTGCTTTACTTGCCCGAGGGAGGAACCAAGGCCCTTATATAAATACCACCCCAAACAGGCCTGTTCTACATCCCACCCAGCTCGGGGATCTCGGTTTCTCTGTGTGAGGCTCGGGGTGGGTTTGCCAGGTTTTGTTTATTTAAAATTTTTTTTTTCACTTCACTTGTGTCTTCTGTGGTGACTGGCTTTTTCGCCATGTTTATTTTATAGGCACTCCCAGTAGCCCATGGAGAGGAGGAGCAGCCATTGCACCTCGGCGCACCAGCCACACAAGCAGCCCGGGGAAAACCATCTCGCAGGCTCTGGGTGGACCTTTGAGGAACCATCCCGAGGAGTGGGCTGCCTGGCCAGGAAGCGCACAGTCCCTACAATCAGGGTGGCTGTGGGCAGAGGCAAGGCCCTTCTCCTCCTTGCGGGGGCTGGGGGTCCCCAGAGAGTGCTGGGTGGGCCAGAGCCTCTCAGGCCCAGCCCCTGGCCCAGGGACCTTATCCACAGGGGGCCCTCAGGATCACCAGGCTGCTTTGCCCCCTGTCCTGCTCACTGAGTCACAAACTGGAGGCTCCAGGCACCCTTTGCTGCTGTTGGGTTTGTCACCTTCGTTGAAGTATGGTTGACAGACAACAAGATTCACACATTTTAAGTGCACAGGTTGATGATGACTTTGGAGAAATGTGTTCACCCTGTAACCAGCACCCCACTCAAGATGCAGAGCATTTCCGTCCCCAGGAGAGTTTCCTTGTGCCCCCTTCCAGTCAGTGGCTCAGCCCTACCTGACCCCCTCTTCTGGTCACCCACCCCCCTGCGCTCTGTCACTGAAGATTAGATTTACCTGTTCAGAACCAATTCACTTTTCCCAGCAGGCTCGCTGGCTGGGGTCAGGCACTGTCTCCCTCCTGACACCTGGCCCTTCTACGGCTGCACACCGAGTGTCCAGGTCCATCTAATGACACACAGGGCTGTTTGTTTTTGTCTATAAGGAGAAAGAAGAGAGAGTTCTGTTGAGACAGGAGCCTGGGAAGGAAGGAGGTCTTGGGTACTTCCTTGGCCTGGTGGAAGGGTAGAGGCAGAAGACAGATAACTGGCTCGATAAGGGCTTTGGGGTCTCAGGGCCTGATTCTGGGCCTTTGGGTGACTGTGCCACCGAGTTGGATTGAGGGCCTGCCCCCAACCTGAGCAGGGGACCCAGCTCCACCCAGCACGATGTGCCTCAGCTCCCCCCTGCTGCCCTTGGCTGCCCTCTCCTCAGGAAAAAAGGCCACATCTCTCTTTGCCCAAGCTTTCTGCAGAGGGACTTGGTTGGGCTGCTGTTGAGAAGGGACACTGGCAGGACATTCACCAAAAGCTGATGGCTCAAGTGTGCCCTGGGGTTGGAGACCACCAAGCAGCCAGGAGGGAACACCTCACAGGAGTGTCCTTGCTGGAGGGGCTGAGGAAGCCCCACAAGGCTCAGCAGCAAAGCCCATCCTCAGAGAGGGCTGGAAATCCCACTGCTAAGGGAGCAAGGTGGTCAACACCCAAATCCACCCCCTGTCCAGCCCCAGCAAAGCTTAACATGGGGCTTTTCTTGGGACCCCCAGCAGAGGGGACCCGGGAGGGGAGGTAGAGATTCCTGCCACCCCACCCCCACCAGCAGAAAAACCAGGCACCCTGAGGAGCAGCTGCAGCCCTCAACCAGCACGGGCCGTCGAGATGAGCCAGTGACATGACCTGTGGGGACCATCGGCAGTATTTGAGGAGGACTTTGCAAGGGGCTGAAGTCCCCCATCAGCAGGTAGGAGCAGGAGTGCGTTGGAATGGAATTCACGCCTGTCACTGTGAGCCCTCTGCGATAAAAGTCATGGTAATTACCACCATGAGAGCTCACACCAAGATCCTTCCATATTCCAGACACGCCAGCTTTTCTAAGTACTCTGAATACATTATTTCATTTAATCCTCACCATGATTCTTTGCCAGGCACTGTTATTACTACTCTCAATTCATACATGAGTAAACTGAGGCACAGATGTGATTTGCTCAGGGTCACATCCTAGTGCCAGGGACCTAGTGAAGGAACAGAGCTGGGATTTGAATCCCTGAAGTCTGTCCCTTAGCCCAGACGAGTGAGGCCTGGGGAAGCAGGTGACCTGGAAACAGGTTCTCGTGGCTTCCTTCTAACACCCCTGAGCCCTCCTTCCACCACCTTCTCCCTCGCTGCCTCTCCTCTGAAAAACAGCTGCTCCCCCCTTGGCCAAGATGGACTCCTACTTCTGCCCTGAACCCCATTCCCACATGGGCTTCCTCCTGGGGCCTGCTTCCTCAGTTTCCCCTCTGCATCTACAAGTTTTCCCCGGTGGTTCTTTCCTCTTCATCTACAACTGGGCCCAGAGTTCTCCATTCAAAACAAATCCTTCCCTCCATTCTGAAGCTGTCTCAAGCTACCTCTCCTAATAAACACCTGCTTATTTGCTTGCCCTGCTCCATTTCCCACTCTGGGGTCACAGAATCCCAATTTTCCTGTGAGGCCCCCTCCTTCTCCCTCCACCTCCAGGTCCGGTGGCAAGCTAGTGTCTTTAGCCTGGCCAGTGTCAGCACCGCAGCTCCAGGCCGCAGGGATTAGTTTGGGAATGGACCTGTGGCCCAAGGCAGGATAATGGGCATCTTCCCTGGGTTCCTGCTGAAATACCAGAGGTGTTCTCCTGGGGTGACTAAGGTGACATGATGTCAGGCAGAAACCTGTACCTTGCCTCCCTGACAAATGTACCCAGCCCCCTCTTTTATGATTCCTGCCTGGCTCTTGGCAGGCACTGTGTTTGCAAGTCAGCTCTCTACTCTCTCTTATGAATCTTAGGGCCTCAAACCCCAATTCTCTGGTGCATCCCCACACCTCTAACTCAGGGCACTGTCCCCAGGCCCAGCCCCTGTTATGCAGCTTCTCAACCCATTCTCCAGGCTTTCTCAAGCACTTTAAGCTTAACCTGCTGAAATAGAAATAGAACTCCTTGTCCTTCCCAAAAACACACACTTGCAACTGACCCTTCTGGTCTCCCAGGCTTTAGACCTTGGCACCATCACTGACCTGCTCTGTACCAGTCCAGGTTCTGGCTGGCCAGTAACAGAAACCATCTCAAGGACACAGAAAAGGGGATGTGTTGGAAGGAATGTGGTCACTCCTACAATGAATGGGAAGGCTGGGAACCTGCCTTGAGAGATGGGCAGGGACCAAGTACAGGGGGGCAGCCAGAACTACAGCTGGAAATAGCTAGTAGGAAATGAATTCTAAGCTCCCCACAACTTTGCGTCTTCCCTTTGCATGGGGAGCCCTGGGTGGGGCATCTGATTGAGCTCTAGAGAAAAGACCTGGGAGAGCAAGCATTTTATCTGCAGTCGTGCCTCCCATGTGGGCTCCTGATGCTGAAGAGAACCCCATCTTCTCCCCACATCCAAACAGCTGCTGCATCCTGTAGAGATAATTTCCAGAATTGCTTTGGATCTCTGTGTCCCCAGCGGCCTGCACCCCAGGCCAGCACATGTTGCTCATCTCTAGGGGCAGCTGCCTGATCAGCTGGATGGCGCAGTGGTTAAATCAGGATGCTTGAGCCAGACTGCCTTGTTTCAGATTCTGGCTTCACCCCTTAAGAGCTGTGTGACTTCAGGGAAATTGTTAACTTCTCTGTGCTTTCAGTTTGCTCCTGAGGCTACTACTACCTGTCCCTTGTGGTGATTATGAAGATGAAGTGCATTAATGTACTCAAGGTGCTTCAGATGAGCCTGGAATGGAGACCATGATGTATAAACATGAGGGGTGTTGTTATTCCCAGGGCATCTTGCCCTTTACCCACTCTCGAGTCTCCAAACCCTCATGCTCCCTCTGCCTTCCCTCGGCTTTGGTTCCCCAGTGAAATACAACGCCCTTGGCTTGTCTCTGAGGCCAGGCTGGGTTGGCCCAAGGGCCCTTCTCCAACCCAATCTGGAATGTCTTCAGCACTGAGGACATTCTCCCTGTTAGCCACATCTCTGAAGGGACCCGTCCAGGGTGTCTGTACGGACACCCCCGGACATGGGGATTCAGGCCCTGAGAGGAGTTATTTCTTCTGCAGCTTTCCCCCAAGGTATTTACCACGTTCCACCTTGCACCCCAGTCATTTGTACCTCCTGCCCCTCCTCTCTGGGTGGTTCTGACCCTTTGCTCAGCCCCGAGCTCTGTCTCCCTTCCATTCTTGCGTGCCTTCCCCCCACTTGCTCCCCAGGACCCTACAGTGACTGGCCCACCGTTAGCAGACATTGAAGATGCCAAGAGCCTGAGAAAGAGGGGCTTGGGGAGGAGGAGGGATGGGCTGGAGTAGAACCAGGGGCCAGTGAGGAACTGGAAGAGAGAAGAGCCAGCTCGGAGGGACAGATCCTCTCTTCCTTACTTCGCCCCTTCAGGTCAGTGAGCAGGGCCTGCACTGGCCCTCTGGGCATAGAACACCCTTGCCCACCATTCCTACCTGGGGAAACCTCAGAAGGATCCTGCCCACTCATCTGTGCCCCCACTGACCCTCAGAGCTCCTGGCTGCCACGTTCCTGGGGCATTTATCAAGTACTCACTGGTAGAGCAAATGTTTGTGTTCCTGGGGTTCGTCCTCCCCCACCTTCCCTACATCCTGCAGGCTCCCCTCCACACCCCCTTATCAGCACTTTCCCCCCCCAGTCCACCCAGGAGGGCCGCCCATGTAGAGAGAAACACATGCCAGCCAGTGCTTATCAACACCTGTTCCCCAGCCGAGGCCAGACATTTCCATCATTCCTCAGGTCACAGCCACCATTTCATCTCATCCCTGTGAAGAAAGTCATCTTGCTCCCATCTTACAGATGAAAAAAACGGAGGCTCAGAGAGGTTAAATGAGCTTCTCAGGTTTCACAGCTGAGACCTCAGCCTACTCTGCTGCTTTCTCTCCCTGTTCTCAGGTGGCCTTATCTGGCCTCCCCTGCAGGGCCTATCAGAGTACCTGACATATAAACAAACTGACCTCAGTAAATGTTTGCTGAAGAGGAAAGTAAGCCATTATCTGGGCATCTACTGGCTGCAGAGGCAGGCCAGGGCAGGCTTATGCCCTGGAGGACTGCATCTCACAAGCCTCTCCCACAAACCCCCTTCCGTGCCTTCTAGGATCCTCCCACCTCCCCGTCCCCTCTCCCCTTCCCGCACCCATGGGCTCTGGTGCTGGAAGGAGTTGCCCCCTCTCCACCCCTTGCTTTTCCTTCTCAATACACCCTTCCTCCTTCCGGGCACAGCAAATTCGGCACTCTGTGCAGGTCTTTCCCTTAGACCTAGGACAGCTCGGCCACAAGGTGTGGAAGGAATAATGCAGGGCAGGACCCACCCACCCAAGCCCCGCAGAGGAACCCCTCAAGTTCTAAATTCCATCACACTTCTAAGCCCCTGTTTCCTCACCTAGCCAGTGGGGGCATAAGTCCCTCTTTGCCCACCATCCAACGTGCAGGAGTCTATAAAGATGAAATAGTATGTGACAAAATACACAGCCAAAAACCCTGGAAGATCGTAAAACGTTACACAAATGAAAGGGATTCTGAGCAGGCCTTAACATGGGCATTAAAACGAAACCTTTCAAAGATATTTGCCATAAAAATTTGCAGAGCCTCGGGGAAAAAATCAAGACATGTGCTTGCTCCTGAGCTTTAACTTCTGTGCGTGACTTTTTTCCTTCGTTTGAGCTTCTCCAAGCTGTTTGCACTGATCGTGTATTCCTTTTATAATCAGGGGCAGAAAACGTTACATAAACTAATACTTCTGAAATAAAAATATTGAGACTCCTGCTTTAAAACTAAGTTATAGTGAAAGATTCTAGCCAGGGGTTGAAAGGAGGCTCATGGGCTGCCCTGCGAGTGAATGTCCTCCTGCCCACCCTTAACCTGGCCTTTCTACTCTGGAAGGCTGGAAGCTGGGGGGCAGGAAGGACGGATTGTTCCTCCAACCACATCACAGGGA